CTCATGTCAACAGAGTCCAGTAGATCACTCCCAGCCTTGTAAAAAAGTACCTGCTTTTATCTGCGTATCGTGATAGTTTGAGTGCTTCTCATCCTAGTATCGCAGGGTCTGGTGAACAACAGTTCTGCGTTCACATGGTCAATTGCAGACATGATTTTGTGAACCTCAGTCATACCCCTCCCCGGCGCAGTGTGGAATATATTTTATTTTTTAATTGGTGTCACAGACAGTGATATCAGGGCTTGCTAGACAACAGATTTGTGCTTTTCAGCAGCTCTTACTTTTAATTCAGTAATTGGAAGCAAGAGTCTGGCAGAACAGCCCACTGGTGTGGAAAAGCTTAAAACTGATATTGCACGGGGACTTCTTGTCAGAGAAGTGTTCCTTAGCTGGACACAGCTTTTAATGCTCAACCTGGACAGGGAAAACTGGCAGCTTAGTAGCTTGTGAAAGTCGCATAATTATATTGTGAAAGTTCCTGAAATTATGTTCAATTAAGCTGTTGAAGATACACATCTTCATTCATCCCTTTTCCCCTGCTCTTCTGGTCTGTCGCTGGTGAACTATGTTTCTCTTTGAAGGAGCCCCTTCCCATCAATACCTAGTTCATGTGCCTGTTGCCAGCCATGCGCTGGGTTTCTCTGAAACAACACTAAGGAGAGTGGGAAAGACAGAAGATAATGAAACCAATAGTTCGGTAACGAAGAGAAGAAAGTTAGAAGGTGAGAAGGCTTGTTATTTTTGAAAACCTTTTCTAAATTTGAATGCAATTCTGTAGCATTCAGAAAGGCAGAGAATATGAGGAAGCGGTGAAAATCAAGTGTAATTAAAGTATGAATAAGGCTGCATGATTTTTTTTAAGTTTGTTACAAAGAAGTTCTCCATCTGCAGCTCACAGGCCACCTGTGAGATGTAGGAGGTTTCTGCTGGGCTACAGCCAGAAGCTCTTGTGTGCTGAATGTGATGTACAATACGCCCACTCCTGAAATTGTCTCAAAATCAGTGTCACAAAAACTTCATGAACAATAGAAAAGTAATGAAGCCTCCAGGGCTGCGTTTACAAAATGCAATCAGAATGGGATTCCTCTGAGCCTCCTCCCAGCCCACAGGCAGTGGGAAGAAGTCATCTCGCTGAAACCCAGAGGGCTGAGGCAGGGACTGAGCTTAGATAACACCCTGGGATGAGGGTGGGATGTGACTGCAGGCGAAGAGGGTGAATAGAGCTAATGAGGATATGAAGGTAGGAACTAATGTTATTTTTGTAATGGCGTTTGACATAGGGTTGAAAATCCCAAGGAGAGAGAATGAGGAGCAGGAAAAGGCACCAGAGAGGGGCAGAGGCATGAAAAATGAGGCACAGAAGGGTCCTTCCAAGACCTGGAGGGAGCTCAAGAGAGCTGAGCTCATTGCTGCTTTTGTCCACAAGTATCTGTGAAATCCAAAAGCAAAGTTTGTCTAATCTTTTAACAGTTACTTCCAAAGAGGACAGCAAACTGCCACTGTTATAACCAGCCCATAGCTATCCTGCCCTATGGGAAGGGGCTGTGTGGTGGTGCAGGGCAGCAACCCGTATGTAAGCCTCAGCTGGTTGTCATGTGGTAGGCAATTTTCATGTCAATTTTCTTTAAACAAAAATACTGATAATCCCAGAAAACAGTATCAGAAGGCGATCACTGAAGTCGCAATAAGAAGAATTAAAAATATTAGATGGACATTAATTTGTCATTGCCTTTATATAGATATTATGATACAATTATGAACAAAGAGGTTATACTTTTGCTATTTTTTGTGCCTTGTACCAAATAATATTGTCTAAAAATTGCAGATGGCAGGCAATATCTTACCCATGGCCTCATGCCTTAAACTCAATTTCTGCTGAAATACAGCAGAAGATGCTCATTGCATCTCTGTCACTTAGTAAAAGTCCTGGCTCCTTACATATGGATGCAGATGTATGAAGAGAGTACGTCCAATCTGCTGGAATTCGTGTGACTGTATCTGAGGTTGGAAGTGATCTTCCAATGAAATTTAGCAGCCAGAGGTAGAGGAGAGAAGCTGTTGGTTGCATTTACATACTTTATGCATGCATCACGTGCCTGCTGTAATAAATGCAGAGGATCCTCTCTGTGCTGTCAGCTCCTAGTAATGTGTATTTAATAAGGGGAGTTACTCTTCATCTCCCCACCGACCTGCTTACTGCAGAAAGGTGTGCGTTAGCAGATGCAAAACATCAGGTGGGGAAACACACAGAAAGTAGCTGAAACTACCTGTCTCTTGGCTTTTTTTTTTTTTTTTTTTTTTCCCTTTTTGACAGTCTTTAGATACAAGCCGTACTTGTTGTGAACTAATGAAGGAGGTGTTCGTGGCTGGGGAAGGGATGTCACGAGGAAGCAGTCACTGGGAGTCTGCCTGGGTGACAGCTCCATCTATTTGCTTCTCCAGGAGCGTCACATGCACTCTAATGAGGGAAAATGCCCATCAAACTCTGCAGCTTCAGTTGGACTTGGGAAAGAAAATGAATGTAGATTCAGAGAGGGAAAAATATCAAGGTTGTTCAGTCATTCTATGAATTTTAGTATTATTTTTTTTTACTAACTGTATTAAGGCCCCTGTTTTTTTCTTTCTTTCTTTCTTTTTTTTTTTTTTCTTTGATAGGATCTTCTTACTCTGTGCATTTCACAGCATAACGCTCCATGAAACCTAGAAGGAAAAAAACCCTCTGTGATAAAATTTTAAAGCAGAATGTTTTCAGAAGCCAGGGGGAGTAATGATGGGGGGAAGTGATGCGAAATTTCTTTTGACAAGAAGATGACAAGAGACGCGACTGAAGAGATTTATGCATACTTTGGGAGGAAAAACCTAAACTGATACATCTGATAGCTGGCTTGGGATGAGTCATTCACTTTTTATTTGCAGTGAAAAGCTACTTTAATGATTTTAACATTTATCCATTAAATTTTTCTCCTTGATCTATAATTCAAAATGCTATACCAGCTCCTTGAAGGTTAGGACACACATTTATTTTAATGTGGAAGTGGATCACCAGGTTGTTCCATCACTGTGCTAATCTCAGTGCTGGGTGGAAGGTTTTAGTCAGTACCTTCTGTGGAAGAAAGCTCCTGCCAAGGCAGTTCTGGTAGAAGATATTTAAAATAATGATTTCTGGTGCTGAGTCACAGTGTTGTCACAGCGCTATTAATAATAAACTGGGAGAGCATTTGTCTTGCCATATGGGATGGAGTCTAAATAGTCCAATGTCTGCCTCTGGTGCTGGATGGCATTATATAATGTTATTGCATGAGGCACATACATTGCCACTTCCCTTCTGTCCCACCCAAAATGCTCAGGACAGATTTTTAACTCTTTGAAGAAATTGGAGTGTTGTTAGAGTCGTGTTGATTCCTTTTGAAGGCTGTGGCACTTGTCAAGGATTCCTTCTCTGCCTCAGTTACACGTAAGGAAATCTGGTTAAGCTGTGTTAATTCTGTGTACATGCTCATATTCAGAAATAAAATGTCTTTGATTCGATTTTAACTTAAATTGCTTTGGAAGTCAGGTAAAGAAAATTGAATCAAGGCGTTTTTAATTCAGAATACAAATGTCTAAATAATGGCTTAATGCAATTTAACTAAACCACTTCAGAAATTCATTCAGATTAACCCTGTTGCTCCCATGCTGACAAACCTAGGGCGTGCTTTATAGACACTCTTTATACGGCATTCTTAACAGGGTGGTAATTGGCAATTCAGAAGAAATTTGGGGCTAATCTTGAATCCTGTGTACACATGCACAGGAATATGTTTACCTGCATGCTGACCAGCAAGGAATCCTTGCTGGGTTTTAAGCAGCTCTCTGATTGTACACCAGTCTCTCTCTACCTCTGGTAAGATTTCAAACCATGCAAGACTTCATCTGTTTGGCCAGTGAAGAGCACAAAGTTAGCCTCCCAGCATGGGCTTTACGTGGCAGCTAGGAGAAAGTCCTGGAAACCCGTAGCACACATCTGCTTGGGTTTAAATGAGGTTTCGGTCCCCCACAAAAGCTCAAAGGTACTTCAATTTGGTCAGGCTGTCTTTCTGGACAAATGCTACTGATATATGAAGCAGAATTTGTGTTGTTTTCTGCCATCTGAAGTTGTCATCCTCATCTGTCAACGATTAGCTTGCTTTTCACCTCCTTACACATCTGTCCTTCATATCACCTTTGGTATGTCACCTTTCCCTGGAGGAAGACTTGGGCTTTTCCTTTGTCTACTAAACCTTCTGAAAATACCCTTCTTAGTAACAAATTAGTGCCAAATATATTCCATAGCCTTCCTGCCCCAATTCATCTCCCTACTATTTTAAAAATAAGATTGTGTAAGGAATAGCAAAGTCAAATATCTGTAAATATCCTTGGTGACTTAACTAATGGGGAAGATACAAAGAAAAACACAGTGACTAAGGCAAATATTTAGAATAGAAAAGCAGTGGAGTAGAGTTGCTTTCTTACTGTTATCTCAAACAAATTAAATTGTTAAACAGGTATTCCAGTAAATTAAAAAAATAATAATAAAAAAATCTCTTAGACTGAGATGAGGGAGATTGATCTTAGTTTATTTTTTTTTTCTATCATAGTGTAAATCATAACATTCTTTTTTTCTTTTTGACAATATTGTTGGTATCTTTGTTTAGCTGAGGACTGTAACATCACAGTATTGCTAGACATGAATAAATCTAGCTTCCATGTCTGCTTGAAAACTAGTGGGAAAACCCATTAAAATAAGGAAAACTGAATTAGTATTTTATGATGTCTGAGAAAGCTGCAAACCTGAGATAAAGAATTAGCATTTTTTTGTGAACAGGCACAACATGCATCTCAGGACGAGCCTACATTTGCTTTAGTGAAATTAAAATGAGAGTGGATGGGAAATTGAAAATATCTCCATTTCTAATCATGCTCTGTCTCATTAAGGATAGACAACATCCTGATTCTGAGAAATTATTCTTTTTCTGTTACAGAAGTAAGAACCTCAGGCTGGCTGAATGAAATTTTCCCTATAAGACTACTCCAGTGCTAATGACAGCAACAATAAGGGAACCAGCAATTCAATACTGGAGGATGCTGCTGAGGGAACATTGACATAAGGGCAGGTAATTAGTGCTGCTATTTCTATTAAAATTAGTGGGAAAAAAAAAAAAAGAAATCTAGTCACTAGAGCAACGGGATTTTTAAATTGCAAAGAAATCTTATTTATGCTGTGAATCCAGCTGAACTAAGCCAGCTAATCAATATGATGGGCAAATTCTATTAACAGTATAAAAAAACTGACTGAATAATTAAACTATAGTAAAGAAGAGTAAATATTTTGAAGAAAGGGACAAAGTTGACAGAGCCTGAGTTGGTCAGTGAAGTGGAGTTACTGCTCCCCAGATGTTTTCCGTCTCTCTAAAATAATCAAAGGCATAACACTGCATGCACTCCTAGCAGTACAGAACATTTCCCTATTGCCCAAATGAGATGGGACATATGAGTGGGAAATGGGAAGAGAAAAATGAATCCACCTGAACACCAAAAAGAATTTGATTCAGCTGAAGTTGGAAGAAAATTTCAGGTCAAGTTTGCAGATGCTTGATCAATAATTCTAATGGAAAATGGACCTCAGTGGACTAGGGTTTTGTTCTTGACATAGCGTCAGTGGAACCCACGGAGTTAGAACAATTGTAAATTTGGTACAGATTCTTCAATGAATGTATATGGAATTAGCCAACTGGTAGGATTTTTTTTTTTTCCCCAAATTCCAAATAGCTTTTCTATTAACAGAATTATTTTTTCTACCTTAATTAACAGTAAGTTTTTTCTTCTAATTTTGAATGGTATTATTTGATTTAATGGAAAATTCTGAACCTCTTTTGAGTTCAGGGATGGGTTCCTTTTATATAGTGGCTAGAATAATAGATTCTTGATCTTGATAGGAGCTTTTCATGGCTTCAAATAAATTGAACTATTTTTCTTGTTTATACCTTTGCCTTTGTGTCTGGGGAATTGGGACAGGGAATTGGGACTGGTTTTGGCACAGTGGTCTGCATGCTGGGCAGTGGAAGAGTGAGTAAATGAGAGTTAACATGTCTGGTAAAAAAAAAAAAAAAAGAAATTTCTCTTACAACATTACCACTTGCAGAAAATAAATCTATTTGGCTTAATCTTTTTATTTTTTTCTCCTGACTGCAATCAAATAAAATGAGGGGTTTCATTTTGTGTCAATATGAAAATTAATTAGCATAAATTGTAAGCCCACTCTCTTTCTAAGAGTGCTAAGTTTTCTTGTTATTTCCCTTTTAAATGGAATCCTAAAGGGGAAAAAATCAGATACCATGGCATAAATATTGCATTATGCTTAACTGATTTATATTTATAAAGCTAATTCCACTCCTTAATGCAATTCAAACAGGAAAAATGCTTCTCTGTTAAGGCTGTTGTAAAAGTTGGATCAAGCATGCCAATGCAATCAAAATGAACTGGGGCTTCGGGCCTGATTGTCTCATTTTTTACATGGCCTCTTCCCATTCTCTCCCGTTATTTTTCTCAGTTTAGTAACGTACTCTAGTGAATTTCTTCTTGGCTAAGAAAATAACTCTGTGCAAAATACACATCTGAGGTGACAGCTACGTCTGACCTTCATGCATATTATATTAAAGAGCTGGTCAACTTGGAGCTCTGGCATATTGGAAATTTAGCCCTTGACATTGTCACTCTGTTGAGATGAGGACACGGGGAAATTGCAGGGCTTTTCACAGCATAACATAAATGGCTGGCACAACAAGGCTGATCCTTCACAGTCACTTTGGTATTGGATAATGTCATAGGAGGTCAGATGTATTTCTTGATATAACGTGAAGTGCGTCAAGTTACAGCAGGGATTAATGAGGCCCTTGAACAGTTTGGTTTTCCGTGGTCTCTCTAATTCAGAAAGGGAGTTGTTTATTAGCCTTCAGAGATTAAAGTATGAGAATCTTTGATATATTGTTTAATATGAGTTAGCTACAACACAGTATTAAGAACTTTCATAAACCACACATTTGAACCTCATCACACAAGAGGGAGGTAGGAGATAGTTAAACTTCATATTTAAACTTTCCTGCCTCAGAGCTAGTTAAGATGAAATAGGACATCGGAATAATTTCTAATTGATTGCAATTTGCAGCAGAGCAAGAGAATACAGGTGGGCTCTGACATCTGGCACGTAGTTCCAGAGACAAGTCACTCAGCCTGTTGGCTCTGCCAGTGTAAATGATGCTGTGTTGTGAAATAGATGAGTTAGACTGAAAACTTCGAAAACTTTCCTTAAGAAGACCTGATGAGGCCTGAGTATAGCTCCTCTTGTCTGGCACAGAGAAACAATGGCTCTTTTTTTGTCTCTTGAATCGCACTTCCTACATGTGAAATTGTGTAACTGCCCACCTTGAAGGCTGCTGAGGGAACAGACATTTGCAGGGAGCTGACATTGATTAGACAGAAAACAGCACGGTTGCAAAACATATCACTATCCTAGAAAAAAAAAAAAAAGCCACCCAAAATGAAGAAAGTACATTCTTTTAGACTGCAGTATATGAGGTCTGTAGTCAAACCTGCTCCTTCTCTCCCAACTGTCCTATCTGCTGCAGGTGTTTTCTTTTGTGATAAGACGACTACTTCTTCATTCATGATAAGGCAGAACCATGTAGGAACCATGAATACCCAAACTCAGGCTACATGAGAATTAGTTGTCATTGTTTTTATCAAACTGTAACGTCTCTGAGTAGGTGTAAATCAAAGTCTTAACCATGCCAGGGTAGAGTTTTGCATGCTGGTTACAAAAGTGTACCTGGAGGTCTGTCTGGCTGAACCTTTATTGCAAAGAAAGCTGCTTACATGTGGTCATGTTGTTAGAGAAGGCAGAGAATAAAAGGAAGCTGAGCACAGACGTGCCTCAGATTAAAACTGCTAAAGATGTCAGAAGGCAGACAGGGACCATCTGTTACGAAGCAGGTTCTGTTCCCCACAGGCACTGAACGAAAGGTTTCCTTTGGCTCACTGCGTTTGGCTCCCTAGGGTTTCTGTTTAGGACTGCCCTTTTGCTCATCATCTGAAGGTGTCTTTGATCCCAATAAGACCAATCATATTTTAAATATATATATATTTTTCTCTCTAATTAGCCTCTTGCTCTTTTTCCAAATGCTGTTAGATACTATCTCATTTTCCTAGACCAATTTTTTGAGTCACTTATTTTATTTAACAATTCTAAGGTATGGCTAATACAACACGCTGGAATAATTTATTTTCTCTTTGGCATAGAAAGCCATTAACCTTAACTATTTATTCAGCAACATTTTTATTCTATTTAATGATGCCCAATCCATCTCTGGGATTAGCAGTGTGAATGTTAGCCAAGCTTTTGCAAGTTTCCCCCAAAGGCGCTACCTCACAAGCCCCAGTAGAAGTTCGTATTTTATGTAAAATATAAATCATAAAATATCATATAATTTTACAACTGTAATGCAGAGTTATTCATCGCTTGCTCAAGAACAGGCATTTATCACAGCCTCGACTACTGTAATTTAACGTATTCCAGCCTAACTGCCCAAGGTTATGCTGGTCAGAGCATCATTATTCCGCTTCCCCGTTGTGACTTACAAGCCATTGAATTGGGATCAGGGCAGAGGCAGCAGCAGATTGGCAAGGACATCTCAGCACCTCTAATTCACTGGAATTGTGTGAGCTCCATGGACTTTACAAGATCCAGTCTATACTAAATCATGGCAGCCAGCCTCAACAGAAGCGATGCTTTTAATGAGGAGCTTAGGATATCCGCTCGGTAGATAATAGAGTAATTGTCAGAGAAGCCAGATTCGGGTGAAAAGAAAGTGGCTCTGCTTTCTGCGCTGGGTTGAACTGGTAAATGGGTACTTAGTGCTGGGACCTTGCACTTCAGAAGGGCTGCATGAATAAATCCAACTCACCAAACAAATCGGGGCAGCAGGAGGCCGGTGTCTCCCTGGCTGTTGGCTGGGCTGCTGTAGCTGCTGGGAGTACAAAGGAGGGCAGGCTGGCACAGTAAGCAGGGCACACAAGGTTCAGCATAATTTTTCAAGACATCACCTGAGGTGGTGCTGGATGTGCCCTGCCCTCCTGGTGCATGTTGTTATAAAGTACATGCAGCAGAGGTGTGCTCCTGCCTAACCCCTTAAATGTTGCATCCACTCACTCTCCCTCGTCTCTTTTTCCAGTGGGTGGGAGCCCTCACTGTGCTGGTGCCAGTCACCAGCCCTGGCCATTCTTCCACATTATTAACTTCCTTAGGGAGCTGAAGATGTAGGTATCCTTGTTTCTTTATAGCTCTGAATTCCACTTCCCCCCTGTTTTATATTATGTCTATGGTCATAATACAGCCTTTTTTAATCTCTGTAAAGAGTTTTGAGGTGCTGACTATGCAAATGTATGGTCTTTTGGTACTTTACTTTTGGTATTGCAAAAAATAAAACTGGGAATAATAATTTTTAAATTATTTTTCTTCTGCAAATCATTTAAAAGTCCTGAGATACATCATCCACAAGAAATACAATCTGAGATGTAAGTTCACTCACAATTTTTTGGCAACTGGTAAACCTCAAGCAACATGTAAATTGAAAATATTTTCATCAATACAAACCTGAAATTAAAGTTTGTTTTCTATCAACTTTCCTGGTAATAAGGGCCTGAGCTTTTAGGCAGGGCAATAAAATGGTCAAAAAGACTCAATGAGAAGTCTCAGGATGTTAATTATATTATTGATATTATTTTGGTAATAGTAGAACCTCACCAAGAAGAAGAATGCTGTATCTTCTAGACATCATGACCTAGACTAGTATCTAAGGATTCACTTCTGACTTGCCATTTGTTTCTTTTTGTGACAGTAGTAATAAAAAAAAATATTGTGGTCAAAGCTGCTGTGATGACAAATCTCATCACTGCTGTAGCACCCAGTACTCCACCCTGCAGAGGGGTGTTCTCCAAACACATCTGTCAGTCCTTGGCCATAGCAGGCAGGAGTTTTTACTGCATTGTTCTCAGAAGCCTACAGTGTTTTACCAGCTGCTGGAAACAGTAGGGTCAGACAGGGCAAACTAAATGGCAG